AAAAAAGCAGTGTTATAACCAGAGAACGTGTTTTCAGTGAATTGCCAGTATTGCCTGACCACCCTCAGTAAATCTGGACCCTGTGGTTGCAGATTCTGTAGCTGCCCTCTCAGGTCCAATACAGTAAATCAACCCAGAAAGGGCATTATTTTATTACAGAATTGATTGGACGTGTCCCACATCCAACTGCCTTATTCTATATCGTTCCTCTTTATATATAGCAGCAAAAGCTGAGAGGTGGCTCTGTTTGCCAGCTTAGGTATATATAGCCAGGCCAACCTGGCTCCACTCCACCAGGAACCTTTCAAATAGGGCAATGAGCTATTTGTGGCCAAAGGGGCTGACTCGGGGAGGTATCAGTGACAAGAGGCAAAGAGCTGCTTGTTTGTGTGGCCCAGGGAACACGTGTGTGTGTAGCCAGGCGATTGCTGACGTTTATTATGTAAAAACTACACACAGAAGGGCTCCAACACAGAAATGCCTTAATAATTATCTCATCTCCAGTGCCATGTCCACTTCTGGATGCACATTTTCCGTTGAGCAGCTTCGTGCGTTCTCTCACGCACGGGAGTAGCTCCAGTGAAACATCTGCTGCACCATCCATATCATCCTCCTCCTCCACATCCCTTCTCCAGGCAGAGGCTGGAGGAAGCTCCACAACTGTCAGGCAGCTGCTCTGCTCTGACTACTGGGCATTGCATTTGTTCCTCGTGTTTCCCCATCTTTGATCACAAGCCTCTCAGACTCGCCTGACAGGGGAGGGGCTATTTTTGGCCTGGTGTTCATGCAGCACGATCCCTGCTTGGCCCAGGTGCCAAAACGAGCTGCTGGCCTTCATGTGGCCCTTGTGCAAACCCACAGCAAGGAGGAGACTGTCCCAAAGCCTCGCCAGTGCCACTGCCCTGCACTGAAATGTCTGTAGTGGGTGTCTCCAGCATAAATTTTGACTGATAATACCTCAGTGTAACAGCCATGCCCCGAGTGGGGGGTGAAAAATAGGAACTATGCATCAATAGGTAGTTCTCTTCTCAGATCTCCAACTGGAAATCAAAAAAGAGCCTGGTGGGTGCACACAAGGGAAAACCTTCCTTGTCCACCCAGGTCAAGGGCCTTTCTCATGGGGACCCCACCAATTTCAGTGGGGTGGTTTCCAGAGTGACCTGAGGCAGGATGTGAAGTGGGAAACCAAATTTGGTAAGGGTTTATTGCAGTTCCTGGAATTACTCACTGTGTATGCTGATTAAACCCTCCTCTCTTTAGTGATCACTTTTTCCACTCTGCTAGAGGGTCTTTTTTTTTTTCTCTCCCCTCCCATTTTATCCTTCTTTTTGGAGAAGCACCAAGTAAAGCAGTCAAATATAGTCCTTTACAACCACACACACCTTTACACACCACAAGCCACTTCCCAACACCCTCTGGCAAACCTATGGCTGATAGTGCAGGACACCCAGAACCACAGAATTCCTTTGAGACAGACCAAAGATGTGGGAGGATGGATTTGAGACCCTGACAGCGCTCAGGATTTTGGCTGGGAAGCTCCAGCGGGGGAAATCACGGCAGAGTGGAAGCGTCGCATGTGACTCTCCTTCTGCACATGTGGATGTGGGACTGAAACAGCTCCCATCCCTTTCCTCATGTTAATAAAAGGGGATGGTTCCTGCCAATTTCCAGCTCGAGTTTCATCCCCCTGAAATACGTGCACTTTCCCCAGCTGTATGTTTGGCCTGGGGTAATTAGCACAGTGCTAATTTTACCTGAGCTGATGAGAGCGCTGGAAGGGCCTCACCATACAAAAGGAGGATCCACACACTGATTCAGCCTTCTGGGGCCTCTTTTTGGGCAAAGAAAGCCACGACTTTGAGACTTGTAGATTTGCTTCTTCTTCCCAGAGTTGTCTGACACGGAGCTGAGGGCAGGGAAGAGCGAGGTCAAGGATACTCATGCGCTGGGAACGAAAAGCACTGAGCACTGCTCGCAGTAAATTACCTTATGCACATTAAATTACTCAAATAGATCTGCTTCTTCTCTTTGCTCTCCTGCGAGACAAGCCACTTCCAGACACCAAAAGCACAAAGATGCTTGGAAGCCTTTTATTTCTTCCTGGGCCTTCCAAAAAGATTCAAAGTCAATTGACATTTCAGATGAAGATTCAGAACAGACACTTAATTCTATCCAAGCCAGTTCAGCTTGAAAAAA